TGTTCTGCTTTCATGAAAGTTTCAGACTTTATACAGAAATTGTTTCTGAGGGTCATGCATCTCTGCTTGTAGTTGCTTAAATTCAAACCATACAGGAGTCTCCCAGTTGTGTGGTTTAAGAGTAGTCCCTTGTAATAGGAAGAAAATTCCACACAACTAGAAAGCTATTTTCTTTACTTTTTGAACATTTCCTGTATGTTCATGTCCTGTCTGCGGATTGTACTACCTTCAGCCATCCTTCATTAAACTATCTAGAGCATTAAACATAGACCTAACAGACTATCTCAGTAGGATTTGGCAATAAGCTTATTTTATTTTGACCTTTACTTCCTGTCATAATGCTCTTGGTGGACATTTGCCATGAGGACTAGTGCAACCTGCTACTCTGTGGTAGGTAGGTAGTACTCCTACAAAGTATCTCAGCTTTTGTTTGATGATTTGTGTTGCAACTTAGTTTCTGTGCAAATAATTGATAAAAATGATAGCAGATAGCATTGTCCCTTATGAAATGATTCAAATTAAATTTTGGCACAGCACTAAGCAGAAAAGTGAAGTATTACTGTTGGCTCATATATAAGTGATGGGTGAGAGGGATAAGATACTGTTTCGCCCCGGTCCAGAAGTTCCACGCTTTTACCAGTTGTACACTTTCATTTTAGACTTTGAGAGATTTCACCCACACGAATCCTTGCAAAGTCTTTGATTCTTTGATACCTCGAGTTCACATCCAGAGAAAAATGACACATTTTTCTCTAAGAGATTTCTTTTAATTTGGTGAGAAAGTAGGCATTTTGGCAAAAAGGATTTTGCAGAAATAACATACAACTTCTCAAAAGCATTACAATGGATTACTGAGACTAGCAAGCATTGCTGTAGTGAGGAAACGTTTGTTACACCCAGCAAACACAAACTCCATACAACTTAAGTGAAAAACCCATAACTTAAGTGAATACAGGAAATAGGTGTTTAAGTTGCCCACAGGAGTAAAGGAAGAGTGATTAAAAGAAAGAATAAAGAGAGAAAGAGAGGAGAAAGACATATTTAACACTCTGGAGGTCACATCTTGACAGATCAGGAGGGCAGAGGGCAAGGGCAGATGGAGACCATGTGGGTGTTTGTTTATAGACTTTGACCACTTCCCCTAGATGGGACCTTTGGCTCACTGCCACTCACTGTCCCCCCCAGCCAAAGTGAGGGGTGCCACCACCAATTGGAGGCTCCAGAGGGTGCAATGTGGGCAGACCATCAGGTGGACCTTATTGACAGCCCAGACACACGGCTTTCCCTGCCATGTGCTCTGCATGGTTGCAGCCTTGTTGACTCCAGGCCTAGCCCTCTATTTTTTTAAAGATTTTTATAGTTATTTTATAGAGTTAGGCAGAAAGGAAGTGTCTTTATCATAGTAAAGGATAACTGTTTCCATTTCACTAAGACTGAAGAGACAGAAGTAGTAATAGACTACTACAGGACTTCTAATGTTTGAATATTTGATGACTGTCAGGGATCAACAGCGAAGAACCTGCTCATTAACAATTTCCTTGTTCTCAATAATTTTTAAATATTGCAGAATTAAGGAAGATAGTATCCCTGTTCTAGCAATACACTTCTAATTTGAGGCATAGTGTGGTGGGTTGACCTTGGCTGGATGCCAGGTGCCCACCCAGGCACTCTATCACTTTCCCAGCTGGACAGGGGAGAGAGTAAGATGGAAAACAACTTGTGGGTTGGGATAAGGCAGTTTATTAAAGCAAAAGCTTGAGGATGCAAAAGCGAAGCAAAAAACCCTAAGTTTATTCTCTACTTCCCATCAGCAGTGATGACCCTCTGCCTCTGAGAAGCAGGGCTTCAGCATGCATAATGGTTCCTTAGCCATTGGAGACAATGAATGCCCCTCACTTCCTGCTCCTTTCCTTAGCTTTTATATCTGAATTGACATCATGTGCTGTGGAATATCCCTTAGGTTAGTTTGGGTCAGCTGGCCTGCTTGTACCCCCTCCCAGAATCTTGTCCTTGATTGGGGAAGGAATATTACATTACTGATGCTGTGCTCAGCAGTAGCCAAAACACTGGTGTGTTACCAACACCCTTCGAGCTACCAGTGCAAAGCACAGCACTGTGAGGACTGCTATGGGGAAATAAACTCCAGCTCAACCAGACCCAATATGCATAGTTTAAATTTAAAACACAGCAAAAAGAAGGATGCCAGCTACAAAGTCCTTTGCTGAAGTAACACAAAGGATCTGGATCACTTGAGTTTAACAAATGATTGGTGATGTGGTGGTGACAGTTTTTCAAGTGTTTTGGATCTTTGCTATATATTAAAGCCAGCCAAGAGAACATCAAGCACATTTTGGCATGTAAAGCCATGCAAGATGTGAACATGAATATTTAGTGACATCTCTGTAAGCTGTAAACTGTGACCTTTGATACTGCAGTTTTAGTACATCTTTTGATCTTGACTGGGAGAAAGTCCTCCAGGAAGACAGTGGGTTCCAGCCTTCACAGGCTTCTGTTGAAGGCTTGAGTTTATTTTAGGCGAAGCATGCAAGGTAGTACATGTCAGCACAGAGCTTCATGCCACAGTGTGTCTCACAGTAGTCCCCTGGATAATGGAAAGAGGAGAAGACAGACCCTGTCAGCTAAAAAGCTTTAAAATTATTGCTGTTCTTGGACATTACAAGGGATCAGTACACTTTAAGTAGAGCAGTGTTCAAAAATATCCAGAGCCTTCTAGCCAAGAAAATGGAACTATTCTAGTGAGGATTGGCTGTTATTTGTCATTAAGAGTTCATGTCATTGCTGTTTAAGACTCATGACAAGATGGTTACTCTTTTTGACAAGGTAAAACATAAAGAGTTCAAACCTGAGTTTTCTGATTCATTGCTGCAGAGGGAAAGATCCACTTCAGAAAGTATAGAAACATTCTGAATAGCGACAGTATCAGATTTTGACAGCGTATGAGGACTATTTGACTTTTTGCAGAAGACAAGAACCAACTGAGAGCAATCCATTTTAAAGCTGTTTTGTTATCATTAAGTTGGCAGTAAATACTCTAGCAGATGCATGCATATATGTTGCTCAAGTAGAGTGCTACGGATGGTAGTTTCTGCCCTAGCTGTTGATACTGTAATTCACACACAGGATGGGTTTTATTTGAGTTTATGGAAACAAATGCCTCTATAAGATTTTTCTGACGAAGCCTCTGTAAATGTTAAGGGTCATTTGTTTGCTGAAGTATTTATGCCTTGAGAAAGTGTTGTCTTAATTGTAATGCATCTGGTTTTCTTGATACTTATAATCAAGATAGCATCCTCTTTGTATACCCTGAATTTTTTAGAAGACCTTATTTTCACTCCTTTTGTTTGTATCAGATTTCTGTCTTAATATGATTAGCATAAAATTGAATTATTTTTGCTAATTTCATGTTTTTGTGGTCTTTATTCTTTGAAGTTTTGCTTTGCTCCCACTGATAACTACAAGTATTTTCAATATCAGTAGCCCGGTGAGACTTCAGTTAATAAGACCAGTAGCTGAACAAAACCAATTTGCTGGCAATTAAATTTTGTTCATGACATAAGGCTGATTATTCTTCCTATGTTGTAAAGAGCTGACAGAAGGTTTTAGAAGTTTAAAAACTAAATTCTGCAACCCCTATTCATGCAGAGTGTTGCTGGAACATTAGGTCCAGCTGATGTTAATAAAGTGATATAGAACTCAATATGTGATTTAAAATGTGAAAGTGTTGGATTAAAGGTGATTTTTTTCTGCAATTCTCCCATTTCTAGCTCCTGAATCCCTTTTCTCAAGAGAAAAGTTGGTAAATCATTCCACCTGGAATGATTGTTAAAAGCTTACTAAATCTTCTGTGGATACAAAGACAGTGGCATGCATCAAGTTAATGTGTAACTTTAGCTATATAATGGCTATTCAGGAATGCTTTTACACTGAGGCCTGGTGTGGAGAGATAGATGATGTTGTCTAAGTCATTACATGTTTGAATAACTTTTAAATACTAATGCAGTGACTTTTCACTTGGTTTAGGCTAATAGTTATGCTCCCTTTTAATTAATCGGGGGGGAAGGAGGAGGAAAGTGACTTAAACTATAATCTGCATTAACATTTTAAATTATGGGTGGTTTTGCTCTCTGTACATCCCGAGGATTGTCATCTTAATAGTGAGTATTCCAATACGTCTCAGGGTTTTCAAATCAGCATTCTTATGCTGTGTTTCCATTGCAGCTCCAAGTAGTTGATTAGAAGAACCTACTGAAGCTGTGAAGAACTTGCATATGGACAGTATATCTCCACTGTATTGGAACAGTTTCATGAGCACCAAGCTCAAGATACACAAACTATTGCTAAAATTCTGAACATTAACTCTTTTTTTCATAAAACATATTTAAAATAGAAGTGAGAAGATAAGAAACACTGTGTGTTGGGAAAAAGTATCCTTAGTACCTTGACAGTAACACAGTGTCTCCTTGTAATGTGACATTATTCTCTTTGCATAACACCCAATATAGCACATTTTCCATTCCTTTTTTTTTTCCTAGAAGTTAGCAGTATTTTGCTACTTTTGGCTGGGGTAGAGTTAATTTTCTTCACAGTAGCTTGTGTGGGCCTGTGCTTTAGATTTGTGCTGAACACAGGGTTGATAATATAGAGATGTTTTTGTTATTGCTGAGCAGAGCTTACACAGAGCCAAGGCCTTTTCTTTTTGTACTGCCACGCTGGCCAGGGGTCTGGAAGGGTATGGGAGGCTGGGAGGAGACACAGCTGGGACAGGTGACCCAAATTGACCAAAGGGATATTCTGTACTATATGACATCATACAGTACGTAAAATGGGGAGAAGAAGAAGGAAGAGGGAGCACATTTTGAGTGATGGTGTTTGTTTTCCCAAGTGATCATTACATGTGATGGGGCCCTGCTCTCCTGGGGATGGCTGAACACCTGCCTGCCCATGGGAAGCAGTGAATTAATTCCTTGTTTTGCTTTCCTTGTGTGTATGGCTTTTGCTTTCCCTGTCTTTATTTCAACCCAAGAGTTTTCCAGCTTTTACTCTTCCAGTTCTCTCCCTGATCCTGCTGGTGGGCAAGTGAGTGAGCGGCTGTGTGGGACTTGGTTGATGACTGGGATTAAACCATGCTAGTAGCTGTAAAATCTGTAGTAATATCACTGAAGTAGTGTTAATTTAATCTGCTGTGAGGTAAATTAAAGAATATGCTTATCTGATGTGATAAAATGTGTAAAGCTTCTGTCAGTTCTAGGAAAACTGTATGTGGATGTAGGGGAAAAAATAAGATTACCTATATAATACTGAGTTAGAAGGAAAACAATGTGAGTCAGCATTACTTGCTGAACTGTTCATCAGTCTGGTAACTTGCTGTAGAAATTGGTTTGTGATGTTTTGGGAGTAGAGGAGAAAATGTGCTTTTTCTGAGCCTCTGTGTAGAAATGCCAGCGAAGATAGCCAAGTTCCTTCTGAGTCAGTGTGCTCCTTTTTTCTGACTGTTGTGGTATCAAATTATGAATCTGAGTTGGAGTGAATCCTTTTGGTTATCTTCCTCTGCTGCAGGATGTAGGAAAACAGTAGAAAATATATGTGAAGAGTAATGAAACAGAATGCAACACTCTGATAGAGAATATGATTCACTTACCAGAAATAACAGTGTGAGAAAGCTAACTTCCCAAGTTTTATATCTGAAGTGGCAGAATAACTTCATAAACTTGCTTAATGTATAGAACAGGACATATATCAACTTAAGGAATACTGTTTGAATTGTCTGCAGGCTTTGGTCACACATAAAGTCAGCCTCAGGGGAACTAGTCTGTAATACAGGAAAAAAAACATGACAACCAAGTGCTGAAGAGATCAGCTGCTTACCCATTTAAGTAGGAAAACGTAGTTTTGACATAGTACCAGGTTGTTTAAAGAGCCTTGTTTATGGAATCATTTTACAAATATTGATATGTGACGGTGTTGATGGTAGAGCTGGGAGTATGATGGCATTTGGGAGCCTGATGGCAAACACTCCTCACTTAGACCTGAAAAGCCAGCATCTCCATGGCTGTGTTATACAAAATAAAGATTAGATTTTCCTTCCAGAGGAAGTTCCAGCAGTTTCTGATTGCGGGATAGGAAGTGTGCAAATTTACAGCATACGAGTACAGGAAATGTGTTTCTGGGCCTACAATGAGACCCAGCCAAGCAGTTGGAAACAAGACATTGCCCTTGCACCTTGATCCTTGCATTCAGAAACTGCTACAGTGGGGGGGTTCTGTAAATACTTTAATATATTTATATGCTGTTACTTCTCACATGAAACAGTAGGAAACTTTCTTACTCTTTCTAGGCCTAACACAAATACCTTTTAACTAAATATATAAAGCAGTCATCAACTGTTAATTTAACTGTGGTTATGAATGATCTACCTTCCCCCAGAGTATTTTATGAACTGTGTGGTTATACATGTCTCACTTACCATTCGCTTCCCTCCCTTACTTCAGATGACTATTCTTAATTCTCCATACTGTGTATAGCAGATCACTGCCTTTTAACGGATCTGGTTGCGGACTCTCTGCTGGTTTTCCCAGAGTGGAGCTCGGCCGCGCTGTCCCCCTTTGGCAGGAGGAAACAGAGACCAAGCTTCCCCGGGTGTTCCGTGGCAGAAAGGACCTTTAATCTTAAACTCGTGCGGTTCATATGGGTTCGGGGGGAGGGCAAGAAGGAGGACTGTGATTGGATCGAGGTATGGGGGGAGGGGAGTGGCTTGAGAGCCCAGTGATCAATGGGAGGTACAGGAGGACCTCATTCCAGTAACCGAGACAGGGATTTGGGGAGAGGTGGGCACAACAAGATTCATGATCGGGGGAGGGGGAGACCACATGGTTCCGATGGAGGGGCCACATGGACCAGGGGAAGTGCATAACTCAGGGAAAACCCATACAATAAAAACGCAAATAGTTGTTTTTCTGCTTTGCTCGGTCCCAGGAAGCTGCCGCTGTAATGGGCCTGTTTCTAAAGCTGTTCTTTCCGGGTCTCATAATCCTGCCGTTCACCCACAGCCTTTCATTGAGTTTTTCTGTTCCTATAGCTGACAAGAATTCTTGGCCCACAACAAAACTAATAAACATGCTGTAACAGGGGGAGGACCAGAAGGTCCATCTGTCCTCTGTAATTTTGAAGATTCCACGTACTTTAATATGACCTCTGGCATTTGTATGGGAAGACACTTGAAACAGGGTACTGCCTTGATGCTAGTAACAAAACAGCTGTAGTGTGCAAGTATGAAAGAGTAAAAATTCATTCTTGCTGTCTAGTAGATATCACCCTCTCCCCCACTCTTTTTTTCCTCCTCTTCTTGAGAAATGGAAGGCAGCTAACACATTCTTCCTATCGGAAAAGGCAGAGCAAATGGAATGTGTAATTTAACCAGGCACAGACTAAGTAAAACAGCTTCCTAAAACACAAATCTGGAAAAAGATTACAGAAGCATGGGAATACACAGTGGTAGTGATGATGTGTTATTGACAGAATAAGTCAGATCCTTACTTGTGTACTAGAAAAAAACCCCAGACTTTAAATCTAGCTAAAATTAGTTATTTGAAAATTATTTGTTAGCAGATGATATTCATAAAATTAGCTAATAAAACTGAGTGTTTTCTAAAACTTTTAGTTGTTAAAAATATTTTTATTAAATTTCTTAACACTATTCTTTGGAGAGTAAAAAAACCCGCCTGTCCAGTCATATTGTTATGTGCACATTTTTCTTTGTTTGTTTTGTGTGTGTGTGTGTGTGTGTGTGTGTTACAGTTAGATTAAGAGCAGCTGCACTCCTCTGTTGTGTCTCTTTGTGCAAGTTTCGAGCTGGCTTCCCGCCAAGTCTCTGAACTCGACAACAGAGCCTGTTTCCCAAAGAGGGAAGAAAAAAAAAAAGAAAACCCAAACAGCCAAAGCTATAGCAAAAATATATATTTTACATATAAAACAGATATAAACAGTGAGAATACTATATACCTTAAACCCCAGAAACCCCAAATAGCTTCGTAAAAGGGAAGAGGGGAAGGGAAAAGGGAAAAAAGGACAAAAAAAGGATGGAAAGGGACAGAAGCAAAACAGGTATGCACAATCTAAAAATCTGGTAACCAGCAAAATAAAGAACTGCAAAATCTCACCACTTCCCTTGAGAGAAGCTGGACACGGCCCAGCACTCTCCCCTCACGCGTGGCAGATAACAGCAGTCACTGTAGGCCTCAGCTCCAGATAAGCGAGACTGAGACAGGGACCCACTGTTCTCGAACCTCACTGAAAAGGAAGAGAGCGAGCTCTCTTATCTATGCCTTACTTATAACCCAAGTTACGTAAAGGAATAGCATGGAATACTTCCTGGGTCACCTTCCTAGTTCCTTCCTGGTTACAAGCTCATCTCCAGGGAGGCCTAGGGTGAAAACTATCACACTCTTCTTAAATTCCTCCTTCTGAGTTCTTCTCTTCTGGTTAGTTCTTAAATATTTATCTCATTGACAAGATCTGTTGCTTACCACTGCTTAACCTGACTTGGATAAAGCCCATTATCAAGTTTAAACCTGTTTTAAAGCTGTAGAGAGATTATCTTTTCCAGCTCCAGCTGTGCATATTGATGGCTGTGTAGCTTCTAGCTGTTAGTCACTACCATTTTTGTCCAGTTTGTCCCTACGTCTGCCCATGGAGCAATTTTTGAATGCTCCTGAGTCTTTCAGGCAAAACTGACCAAAGAAGGAGTTTTGTTAAGATGACTTCCACTTAAGCAAGTGCAAGTGATTTTACTTGTAGTGAATTAGGAAGAACAAAGGCTTTTGGCATAGCTACAGACTTCTGACAGGACTATTTTTAGCATAGCTGTTTGCAGAGGGAGCATCTGTTTAATACTTTTTTGGGTGAAAATATTTTGTCACCTCTTTGAGATTCAGATATGAATATAGAGTCTAAACAGTGTTTGTATTGATGGGGAGAATTGAGAGCTTGGGCACAGTGATAAGTTTTGAGAATTGGTCTAGTAAGAAAAGAAGAGCTAAGCCATAAACGTCACTTAAATAAGTAAAGGGGGCACACTTGTGTAGCATGGATAAAGTGTTAAGCATATAAACTGTTTTTGAAAAGGTATATTCTGAAAACAATAAAATTGCTATAAAAGACCTTCAATGTTATATAAGGAAAAGCTGTGTTTTCATTTTGTGTTTATATGTACAGTTTGAGTAAACTAAGAATCTTTTTTAGGGCGTCCAAGATGGATCTCAAGTGTGCTCTGGAAGAATGTTCAATGGCACTGAACTTATTTCTAAACAATAAGTTCTCCGAAGCACTGGAACTACTTCGTCCATGGTGAGGTCCTGTTTTTTGCTGAAGTTACTGTAAACAGATAGCGTAAAGTATGCTATCTAGTACCTGAAGATTATTTAAGGCCTCTGACGATAATGGTTTTCATTTATTCCCTTTTGTCCAAAAGCATTTATCCATATATTGGGGTTTTAGCAGTGTGGTTGTCTCCCTAAGGCCATCTCAAAACCTGTTGATGAACCACTGAATTGTTCTGTTAATCATTCAAACTGTCTTTCCTCATGCGAAGGGGGAAAGCAGGGAAGCAAGACCTTATCCAATGTATCTTTGATTAGAAAATTGTACAGTGGAACTGCTTTTGACAAGAGGGAAAATCTGGAACAAAACTCCAGAATACTCTTTTTGTTGTTTTTTATATTACGCTTGAATCACACATTTAAAGCACATCTTTTGATCTTCTGACTAATTCTACTTGTTTTCCTGTTTCCTTTCCTCCACTGAGAAGAAAAGCATGGCAGTGCAGATGTAAGGAATTAAAGAATACGGAGAGGTTCACAGGGCAAGTCTAGCTTATCTGTGACTTTGTGGGGAGGCAGTCTGGGTGGCTGATCTTCAGGACTGGGATCTGAATCCCATTCACTATTCTTCTCTTACCTGTGTCTCAAAGATGCGTATGATATTGAGGGATGTTTTGGCAAGAGGGATCTGTAGCCTGTGTTACTAGAGCGAGGTAAGGTTCCTCCTCTGCAGTTTAGTGCTAGTAAGAATGGATTAAGAGTGATGGGTTGGTGTTATATGGACGAGTTCAAGAACACCATTAAATGAAACTTCAGAAGGATGACAGAGTTATCAAGTGTTTACTTTTAGTAGTATGGAGAGCTCTCATACTTTAGTAGTATGGAGGGCTTTTAAAATTAGCTATACTTACTCTCCAACTCTCTTCTCTGAGCATTGTATAGTGTTATTTGAAATAGAGAAATACTTTGAGAAGGCCCACCTGCACTTGTGTGTATGCTAAAACTATTTTTAGGTGATATTGCAAAATAATAAGTTCTACCTGAAAGGATTGTGCATGAGCGTATTGCTAAACACACGCACACACATATTGCCCAAATGTTTTTTGTGCATTTGATTTATATTTCATTTTGCATTGTAAAACAAAAAAAACCCCTTATTTTGTCATGGTGTTTTTATGTACAGCAAATTGTTTGTTTGTAGTTGATGTTTGCTAATAAACTTTGAGCTTATTATATAGCACATTGCAAATGATGACCTATTGCAAAAAACAAAAAAAGTTGCCTATTAAAAAAAAAGCCTGATTGTTTTATTGAAAAATAGCCTTTTATTGAAAGTTAAACTTAAGTCCTTAAATAATGTAAAAATTTTAGGATAAGTGTTGATAGTTTTGAGAAATACAGACTTAGCCCAAAGGTCATCTTTCTTGACTCTTCTTAGGATTTCTGTCTTCAAAACTACATTTGGTAGTTGGCTCCTTGATTTAGAAGGAAGAAAAACTGTTAGGCAAACTAGAGATCATCCAACAAAGAACTAGAAGCCTATCTAGAAGACCAGAACAAATGATTTATTCAGAAGGGTTTGCTTTAGTTTGACAAAAAAGGAGACTTGCCCATTAATCCAGTAGTGGTCTGAATCTGTTGAAGGGAAGTTGCAAAGACAGAGGCACCATTCTCCCTAGTATAAGATGGTAAAACAAGAGTCAGTCACTACAAGTTGAGACTGAGGAGGTTTGTGCTGGTTTAAAAGTTAACCAGCAGGGGAAACCAACCCAACTCAAAAGAGAGATTACAAGTCAGAATAACAATTTAATAAAATAATACAACAGGCCCTAACCCACAAAGCCCAAATGTGCAACCCAGCACCCCAGGGCACAAACAAAGCGGTGGTCCCTGGGCTCCCCCCCTGAGCCCAAAGCAAAGGGAGAGGGGAAAAACTTTGCTGGTGGAAGAGCTGCTGCAGTCCAGCCAAAAATGGTGATTGCAGCCCAGCCGAGGGCGGTGGTCTCAGTCCAGCTGAGAGCGGTGAGCTGCAGTCTGGCTGAGAGCAGTGAGCTGCAGTCCTCCTCTGGATCCCACGAGTGGTCAAAAGGTTCTGAAACTCTGGGTTTATATATTCTCCAGCTCAGGCAGGAATGCTAAGTCCCTCCCTCAGAGTGGGGAATTCCATAAAAGGATGCTCAGTCCTTCCCTCAGAGTAGGGAATTCCATAAAAGGGCATGAGGACAAGAACATCCCCCCACCTCACAGGCCTCTATTGACAACAGTTTCTGGGAAATGGCATGGAAGGCTATAGAATACAGTTTTGGGCTACCCCATTCAGTGATGAATCAGTCCCAGCTGTTCTAACTAGGACATTATCCACCCCTTATTCTATGCCATCCATGTCATGCCCAAATTAACCCCCTTAAAAACTATGTCTCCTTAAAACTATATACAGTTATATATATATATATATATACAGATATACAATGAAACATTACAGACCATTCTCACTCAAAATTAGGTCCCCTTGTGGTATACAATGTGTCTCCCCATCTTTTTGCATTACCCACCAGGTGAAACCAGGTCCTTGAGCAAAAACAATCCCTCGGATGGGTTTGCCTTTGCTTGAGGTGGGACTAATCCAAACAGTCTTCCCTAACATTCCTCTCATATGCACCACGGGGACTTTATCTCCATCTACCATATGCAAAGGTTCTGATTGGGCAGGGCCAGCTCGATTGATGGAGCCTCAGGTGTTGACCAACCAGGTGGCATTTGCTAAATGCAACTCCCAGTGTTTGAGAGTCTCCCTACACAGTGCCTTCAGGGTGGTTTTCAGCAGTCCGTTACACCGCTCAACTTTTCCAGCCACTGGTGCATGGTAGGGGATATGATACACCCACTCAATGCCGTGCTCTTTGGCCCAGGTGTCTACAAGGCCATTCTTGAAATGGGTCCCATTATCACACTCAGTTCTCTCCAGGGTGCCGTGTCACCACAGGACTTGTTTTTCGAGGCCCAGGATGGTATTCCGGGCAGTGGCATGAGGCACGGGATATGTCTCCAGCCATCCAGTACTTCCTTCTACCATGGTCAGTACGAAGCACTTGCCTTGGCGGGTTTTGGGGGAGCATGGTGTAGTCAACTTGCCAGGCTTCCCCATACCTGTACTTCGACCACCGTCCACCATACCATAGAGGCTTTACCTGCTTGGCCCGCTTGATGGCAGCACATGTCTCACAGTCATGGATGACCTGTGAGACAATGTCCTTGGTTAAGTCCACCCCTCGGTCACAAGCCCATCTGTATGTTGCATCTCTCCCCTGGTGACCGGAGGCGTCATGGGCCCATCGAGCCAGAAATAATTCTCCTTTGTGCTGCCAATCCAGATCTACCTGAGAGACTTTAATCCTGGCAGCTCGGTCCGCCTGCTCGTTGTTACGATGCTCCTCATTAGCCTGTTTCTTGCGTACATGAGCATCTACATGACCGACCTTCACACTCAGCTTCTCTACCCGGCCAGCGATGTCCTGCCACATCTCTACCGCCCAGATGGGTTTCCCTTGGCGCTGCCAGTTGACCTTTTTCCATCGCTCCAGCCATCCCCACAGAGCATTGGCCACCATCCATGAGTCAGTGTAGAGATAGAGTCTTGGCCACTTCTCTCGTTCAGCTATATCCAAAACCAACTGAACGGCTTTAAGCTCTGCAAACTGACTTGACCTGCCTTGTCCTTCGGTCGCTTCTGCAACTCGTCGTGTGGGACTCCATACAGCTACCTTCCATTTTCGGTTTGTCCCTACAATGCGACAGGAGCCATCCGTGAAGAGCGCATATTGCCTTTCATCTGCTGGTAGCTTGTCATATGGTGGGGCCTCCTCAGCCCGTGTCACCTGCTCCTCTTCTTCTTCAGAGGATAATCCGAAACTCTCACCTTCAGGCCAGTTGGTGATAATTTCCAGAATCCCAGGGCGATTAGGATTCCCTATCTGGGTTCGCTGTGTGATCAGAGCGATCCACTTACTCCATGTGGCATCGGTGGCGTGATGTGTAGAAGGAACTCTTGCCTTGAACATCCAGCCGAGCACTGGCAGTCGGGGTGCCAGGAGGAGCTGCACTTCGGTGCCAATCACTTCTGAGGCAGCTCGAACTCCTTCATAAGCAGCCAGGATCTCTTTCTCAGTTGGTGTATAGCTGGCTTCAGATCCTTTGTATCCCCGACTCCAGAATCCCAGCGGTCGTCCTCGGGTCTCCCCAGGCACCTTCTACCAGAGGCTCCAGGAAAGGTCATTCTTCCCGGCTGCAGCGTAGAGCACGTTCTTCACGTCCTGTCCTGTCCTTACTGGCCCAAGGGCTACCGCATGGGCAATCTCCTGTGTAATTTGTTCAAAGGCTTGTTGTTGTTCAGGACCCCACTGGAAATCATTTTTCTTCCGTGTCACAAGGTAGAGAGGGCTTACAATCTGACTGTACTCGGGGATATGCATCCTCCAAAAGCCCACAGCACCTAGGAAAGCCTGTGTTTCCTTCTTGCTGGTTGGTGGGGACATAGCTGCTATTTTGTTAATCACCTCCGTTGGAATTAGGCAGCGTCCATCTTGCCACTTCAATCCTAGGAACTGAATTTCCTGAGCAGGTCCCTTGACCTTACTCCGTTTAATGGCAAAACCAGCTCTTAGGAGAATCTGGATTATCTTCTCTCCTTTCTCAAAGACTTCCCCCACTGTGTTCCCCCAAACAATGATGTCATCAATGTACTGTAGATGTTCTGGAGCCTCGCCCTTTTCCAGTGCAGTCTGGATCAGTCCATGGCAAATGCTGGGACTGTGTTTCCACCCCTGAGGCAGTCGATTCCAGGTGTACTGCACACCTCTCCAAGTGAAAGCAAATTGTGGCCTGCACTCTGCTGCCAAAAGAATGGAGAAAAAGGCATTTGCAATGTCAATGGTGGCGTACCACTTGGCTGCCTTGGGCTCCAGCTTGTACTGGAGCTCCAGCATGTCCGGTACAGCAGCACTCAGGGGTGGTGTGACTTCATTGAGTCCACGGTAATCCACCGTCAGCCTCCACTCTCCGCTGGACTTACGCACTGGCCATATAGGGCTATTAAAGGGTGAGCAAGTCTTGCTGACCACCCCCTGGGTCTCCAGGTCACGGATCATCTTATGTATAGGGGTCACAGAGTCTCGGTGCGGAATTGCTGACGGTGCACTGTTGCTGTGGCTGTCGGTACCAATTGTTCTTCAACCTTCAGCAGTCCCACAGCAGAGGGGTCCTCTGAGAGACCAGGCAAGGTGTTCAACTGTCTAATTTCCTCTGTCTCCACAGTAGCTATACCAAAAGCCCAATGAAGTCCTTTTGTACTCCTCAGGTAATCTATACCAAGGATGCACGGGGCCTCTGGGCCAGTCACGATGGGGTGTCTGTGCCATTCCTTCCCAGTCAGGCTCACTTCAGCTTCCAGTACATTCAGCTGTTGGGATCCCCCCGTTACCCCAGAAATGGAGATGGATTCTGCCCCTACGTATCTTGATGGCATTAAAGTACGTTGTGCGCCGGTGTCCACTAAGGCCTTATATCTTTGTGGCTCTGATGTGCCAGGCCACCGAATCCACACTGTCCAATAGACTCGATTGTCCCTCTCCTCTACCTGGCTAGAGGCAGGGCACCCCTAGTCCTGGTCATGGTACTCATTCTGCTCTTCTTGTGAGTATGACCTGGAGGTCCCTTCAAGAGGATCAGACGTATCATCATTCCTGTACTGTCTGGAACCTTGCCCACGAGAGACTGGAGCAGTATTTACCCTTGAAGAGTTCCTTGTGGTACTTGTTCCTATTTTCAGTTCACGTACCCGGGCTGCTAAGGAAGAGGTGGGTTTCCCATCCCACCTCCTCATATCTTCTCCGTGCTCACAGAGGTAAGACCATAGATTGTCACGTGGAGTGTACCCTTTCTCCTTAGCTGGGGGACACTGGCTCCTAATAGCAGAGACTCTTGTTTGTCCTGGTGCGATATGGAAGATCCCTTCCTTAATTTCTTCTCTTAGCTTCTGGTGTCCCTCTTCAATCTTCTCTTCCAGGCTTCGGACATGTTCGACCAGTTTGGTTTCCACAGGTGAGACGTGGGCTCGTAATGGGGTGGTGACAGTGTCTTCATAAATCCTGAGTTTACTAACCAACACGCCCACCTTGTCCTCTCCCTCCCTCCATTGCAGCGTTGCTAAGTAGTGGGAATACATTTCTGGCCCGAGTCGTGCAAACTTCAACCACATCTGGGATGTGCACTGTACACCATCTGGACTTTTAGGGAATCTTTCATCCTCTGAAAAGATTATCTCCAGTACAGCTAATTCTCTTAAGCACTGGATACCTTGTTCCATCGTGTTCCACTGTCCTTGCTGTACGTGGAGGTCCTCCTTACAAAGGTATCTCTCCCTCACACTGGACAACAGTCGCCGCCAGAGGCTGAGAGTTTCCTGCCTCCTTCCAATCCCCTGATCAATGACTACATCTCGAGACGGGGATCCCAGCTATCTGGCTTCACTCCCATCTAGAATTGTATCGTTAGCTGCGGCATCCCAGATTCGGAGCAACCAGGTCAGAATGGACTCATTCGTCTGTCGTGTGAACTCTCTCCGGAGCTCACGTAGCTTACCCAGGAATAAGGGACCGAGTGATTATTTCTGGCTCTGTCTCCTCCGATGGATGTGAAGGTCCTGCCTCTTCGTCATCATTTGCTATACGGACTGATTTAGTCTTTGATTTCCTTTTCTGGGCAGGGGCGACTGCTGTTGGTTTCAGTTGTTCTTCTGGCTCCTCGATGGTTTGTGTGGACACAGTGCCGGTTGATTCATTTCTTTCTCTCTCTGACTCAGCTGTGGTTTGGGTGGACATGGTGCCTGTGGATTTGCTCCTTCTCTCCTCCCCCTGACAGTGCTGTACCATGTCAAGTAGTGTCCGGTAGGCAGTGGCCAGGGCCCAGCAGGTTGCTGTGAGCTGGCCATCTCTGGAACTGCCAGAGCATTTTCCCTTCACTGGAAACAACCATTCCCCCCTCTTCCCCCAAAGGGCTGGGTGCGATTTTAAATGAGGCCCCAGAGGTAGCAACCCAAACCAGGACAGGCAAACAGGACTGAATACACATTTACAATGAAACTCATTGCTTCTGATGTTATGATGACATAAATATAGTATACTAATAAAGCAATTTGGATCCCTCTCCCTGGTTTTAAAGAGACCATCAAAACAGGCAAATAGTTCCCCATCTGTGGAAATATGAACATGCTCAGATACAACATCCACATGAATGCATCAAACAACATGGTGATCAGGGAGTTTCTATATCCAAATAGGCAAATGCTTAAAATGAAATTGTGATTCTGACTTCTCGCTCTCTCTGCCCCACGTTGGGCGCCAAAAATGTGCTGGTTTAAAAGTTAACCAGCAGGGGAAACCAACCCAACTCAAAAGAGAGATTACAAGTCAGAATAACAATTTAATAAAATAATACAACAGGCCCTAACCCACAAAGCCCAAATGTGCAACCCAGCACCCCAGGGCACAAACAAAGCGGTGGTCCCTGGGCTCCCCCCAGAGCCCAAAGCAAAGGGAGAGGGGAAAAACCTTGCTGGTGGAAGAGCTGCTGCAGTCCAGCCAAAATTGGTGATTGCAGCCCAGCCGAGGGCGGTGGTCTCAGTCCGGCTGAGAGCGGTGAGCTGCAGTCTGGCTGAGAGCAGTGAGCTGCAGTCCTCCTCTGGATCCCACGAGTGGTCAAAAGGTTCTGAAACTCTGGGTTTATATATTCTCCAGCTCAGGCAGGAATGCTAAGTCCCTCCCTCAGAGTGGGGAATTCCATAAAAGGGCATGAGGACAAGAACATCCCCCCACCTCACAGGCCTCTACTGACAACAGTTTCTGGGAAATGGCATGGAAGGCTATAGAATACAGAGTTTTGGGCTACCCCATTCAGTGATGAATCGGTCTCAGCTGTTCTAACTAGGACAAGGTTCAAACTGGACACTGGCTAGTACAGTACTGGAGAGGCTGCCAAAGGAGTAGGCAGTCTTCATTTACTTGAGCTTCTTGAAACTTGGTTAGGTTAACCTGACATGATGTTAGCAATAGTGCTGTTTGTTGCACTTAGTGTGTTTGAGTATGTGACGTCTGTAGGCACTTTCCAACTTTTTTTTTTTTGTAATGGTATAATTATGTTGTGAAAGCCAGACTAGTTCAGTATAGTCTTTTATGTAGAACTGAGCATTTGTGTACTGACATTTCTATGACACAAATACAGATTTTTGTCTTTGGATCACATAGTAATGTTAGAAGGAGGTTCTTATTTACGTCGAGTGAAAGCATACAAGTGTCTATTTATGTCAAGGCTTAGTTAACTAAATTAAAAAGATATACCAGGAGACTATAAATGGTATTTAATTAAGTGCAAATGTTTGTGTAACTCAAGTGGGACATTTTTTGGAACTTCTTGTGATGGCAGACTTGTAGCACCCAATGGAAAATGATACTTGCTTTCTTGCTAGTTTATGTTCTCATGTCTATTACTTCCCTGCTTCATTCTTCTGTCTTTTCACAAATTAATGCAAGTGTCTCTGCATTTAGTTTTGTATTGTAACGTAAAGTGTTGCTTAAATGCACAAGATTTATGTTTTCCCTAGGTCCAAAGATAGCATGTACCATGCGCTTGGATACAGCACTATTTTAGTTATGCAAGCTGCTATGACCTTTGAACAGCAGGATATACAAATGGGAATTTCTACAATGAAGGAGGCTTTGCAAACTTGCCAAAGGTATGCCCAAACGCTGAACGTTTATGAGATACTTAATCCACTAAGTGTTCTTCGTAAGGTACCCCAGCTCTCTCTATGCTTTTAAAACTGATTCCTATCAGTATGATAGTGGCCTAAATTTGTAAAGGTGGAATAAGTCCTACTACACAATTATTACTGGTGAGGATCTTTTTCCATAGAGTATCGTGGAAACAACAGACTCGTTGTGGCTGGGTATTAATAGCTGCTAAAGTTAAATGGTTGGTTGACTTTGTAGACCTACCCATAAGCAGACATTACATGGCTTGTAAAAGCTCTGACAAAAATAGAAATGAATTCTACTGTACTGGTTCTTCATCATATTGGTTAGGCCATAATTTATCAAAAATGGTCTCCGAGGATATGACTGCCACATGTCAGTTTAGATGTTTAACATCAACATCTTAGCAATGACAAAAAAAGAAAATGGAACGAGATGAAATTATCAGATACTATCTGAAGAAAATGAAAGGTCAGCAATTTCTTCATCTTTTTCAGATGTGCTATCAATTTACAGTTTCATCTGAATTGTGTTGTTTAGTATGTCTGAAGATTAGATGCTCCTGTAGTTTAGACAGCTTCCTACAGGATTTCATCTCTGCAGGATATGAACTCTAATGCATAAGTACTCTGGTCTAGTCTGTCGCAAAACTCATAAAAATGCAAGACAAAGGCAATCAAACATTCAAATGTGAAGAGTTGCCAGAACTACATGTTCCCTGACTCTTTTCTTGTATTTATTATGTTAACCTGTAGTGTCATAATCTTGTTGTCAGGATCTTGCGCTTGTCAATGTGTAGAATAGTGTAAACAAATGATAAGCTAATGCTTAGTGTTTATAATCCATGACTCCCTGGCTTACAAAATGCACTCCTTTTCTGAATGTAGAATTGTTTCTTTAGCTTCTTCATAAAGCTGAGTTGTCTGTAAATGGTTAACAAACTAATTTTTGGAATTATAATGTACAGTTGAGATCCTTTGGAAGTAAAATATGTGATTGTTTTGGTATTTTATCTGGCATAAACCACCATTAAATACTGTAGCATTTATGTTGAAAAAAGAGCACCATTTGATTTTTTTAATTCCAATTCTGTGTGCAAGTTTAAGAAACAGAAAAAAACAATTTGTGAAACTTAGAAGTCCTGTTCTGGTGTCTTGCTCAGCATCAGAGACACTTCTGCAGCTGGTGGGTGGAAGTGGGGTTGAAGCTATTATACACTTAAAGTAGGTTAATTGATGTTATGAGCATACATTTAAGGTTGGATGGGCTTATGAGCCTAGAAGCATAAAAGACTTCTCAAAGAATTGAAACTGTTGGTAATTTCTATTCATTTTAGTTGGAAATGGTTAAGAATTCCAATAATTAAGGTCAGTTTTGTGTTGAAGTATGTGGGTTTCTTTTTTTCCATGCACAAATGATTTAGATTCAGGAAAAGAAGCACAGTGGTGGAATCTTTGTCCAATCTAGTTTTGAAACAGTCAGTGGATCAGTTGAGTGAAGGTAAGTGGTTTATAATACAGTTAAAATTAAAAAGGGAAAAGCTCAAAACTACCTTACCAATGCGTGACTCTGTAACTTGACCAGTGTCTTACAGTAACAAATAAACGTACAAACCACCTATGTGGTCGTCTTCTTAAATTTGAACATAAAGCTTCTCAAAATGGGGAATTCAACCTAAATTTTTTTTTTGACTCTGAGCATGCATGAATCAAGGAAGGAATGCCTTTCACGACACATTATAGGACAGCTCCCAAAAGTTTAAGAATCATTGATGCAGTGGAATACGTCCTTATCATTAGTTGCATTGGAATCTGAATATATTAACAAGTTTTGTGCTTGTCTGTTTTGCCTTAAGGTGTTTTGGGAAATGGTATCAGTACATTGTTCATGGCTCTGAAAATGCTGATCTCCTATTTCTGATTCAGGCAGAATCAAGTATGCATTTTTTTCTAACCTGGCACAAGAATCCTCTTTAATACTTGGACACATCAAACTCACCACGTATGCACTGTACATACAGCAGCCTTGTGCATGTGGCTGGTCTTGCAGCATGGGTGCAGAGTAACTCGTGTCATGTGTGTTAAATCAAGTGTACTTTAGTGCTGCATGAAGACAGAAAGTCTGCCTGGGGCTTTCAGTTTGTTGAGCATGACTTGTTAAAAACCTGTTCATAATGTCTTACTAGATGTAGGAAAAGTCTGAACCTCAGTGAGGGTTACCATTATCCTGAAAAACTTTCTTCTAAGACGTGGAAGGAGGGTTGGAAGACTTAGTTACTGTAGGCTGTTAAGCTTAGGATCAATGAAAAATACAGGAGACAATCTACCAGAATGACAAGTAGCTTTTGCCATAGACCAAAGTCAGCTCTGTCAAGTTCAAAGTTTTAGTCTGAGAAGAAGGGAAATAGAAGACTTCTGCTGGGGTTTGTGTATTACAGCTACTATTCAGCAGTTATCGAAATGGCAACAGCAGAATCTTGCCTTTTTTTTTTTTTCCCTTGTCTTGGCAGCATTTTATTTGTTCCATCGACCCCAAGAAGAAAATGCTGACAGTAACTTTGCTGATACTAAATAACTTTTCTTTCTTATATAGAGGAAATGCATGCCGAAATCTGCTATGCTGAATGCTTATTACAGAAAGCAGCTCTTACCTTTGTACAGGTAAAGTCAATTTTTGATTTTGTGTCTCTGTGTAGCAGTGTACTGGAGAGAGATTAGTATTTGTATAATGTCATTCCAACACTAGATATGATATTTAAAAACCAAACTTTTTGCTAGTCAATGTTATTTCATGGCGGTGATTGAAAGTATGGTAAATGCTGTGCTACTCAGCAAAGCCCTCTCTTTGTTTATACGAATAACAAAAGGTGTTATTAATATCCATGTACCAAGGTATCACCGAGGTATATTGTAGTGTTTATACAGGTGTTATGTTTAAATGACTTGCATCACACTGTACAGTGTCCAATGCTTCTGTAAAAGTATGTTCAAGTATGAGGAAGTGCCTTGTTTGAAAGTGCAAGTCTTTTTTTTGCACAAAAGGATAGAATGTTTCCCAACTAACAAAACTTTAGCTGATGCACACTTGTCATTTCCAATTCAGTCTTGCTCTCTATGCACTTTTGACATGGTATCAGGAATAATATGGTAAGGAATGATTATAAAATGAGCATACCTTAGTACTGCTGAGCTAACAGTTCAGTCCACAGAAAGATCTGGTCTTTAATACAATCTGGTGCTACTGGTTTAGATTGTGGTTAAGGGACTTCATGCTACAGTGTTTTCAAATTTGATTTGAAATTTGATTGCTGAAAACAGGAGTTGTTAATCATAGTTTTTTGACATATGTGAATGTTACAAATTTATTGAATGTATTTTAGATAATCCAATGTAAATTATGCGAAAGGAGCAAGGCACTAAGATCAGATAAGTTCATTTGGCAGATATTTATAAACCACTTAATACAGTACTTTGACCAGAAGTGTCAGGAAATAGTATTAATGGAATGCCTATAACTAGCTTTCTCCTGGCTTCCTGGCTTTCTCCTTTACCAACCAGATGGAAGTAACCCTTTTTATTTTTATTGTGTGGGTGAGGGTTTTTTAAGCATGAAAAGAATTTTCAAACAGTTGTTGAAGTAGATGACTTTAGGAATGTATAAAATAAATTCTAAAAACCCTTAGATATGTATTTTCTCTAAAGCAGCAGCTCTCTATTGCTCCTAACTATAGTACCCCACTCTACTGATTGTAGTCCTGCCCCATATGTTTCATCCTTGGCTGACCTTGATTCCTCTGAGAACAATGATGAGAACAAAACTGTAACCACTCAGAAAGGCAGAACTAAAATGCTTGTACTAAAATACTTGCATTTGAGTGTTTAAACTTGCAGACAAAACAGATGAGGTCTTTTGAAATGGTGACCCTTCTATGGAAGCCAGAATTTCCTTTTGTTGACGGTTCTAAGCCTTTTTTCTTTTTTAGTGCTTTTTCATTTTCCATATCATATATGCTGTCCCTGAGTATTTAAATATGCATTTCTGAAATGCCTGCTCATGTTCCCTTTCTATGTGAATTCTAAGAGAAAAAATTACATCTTGTTGAACTGTTAGCTGTCTTGCTTTTCAGGTGTTGAGTTTTGATGGCTATTACGTTGTGGCTTTGTTTTGCGTTTTCTAGAGATTGGTAAACACATATACTGGGTAGTACATGTGGTTTATGTTGATCAGCAATGGGACTTCATCTGTTCAGGGGATTCTTTGGTTTGTCTTTTTCCAGGTTCTGTGTGGGCTTGCTTGTGTATGTGAGAGAACTGCCCATTTGAAATTTTGTAAAAAGTTCCTACAGCACCATCTGGTGGAAAGCTTTCTCTATATGCATTGGAAATTCTGTTAAAAGTAACTCTTTGACTCTTTTTCACCTCCCTCTTAAGTTTTAAAATTTGTAACATGCACCAGAGAAGTGTTTCCCTGACAACTTAAGTGTTAACATTGGTCTTAGAAAAGAGTCTAGTGACTAAAAAGCATTTTTAATGTTTCCAGTGACTATTAAGTTACAAATAAATGTATGGAAGATACAAATAAAAGATGGAAGATTTTTATGTATGTGTTATGTGTGATTGCTGAATGCACTATTTTGTACAATTAAATTTTTTTCTTCCAGGATGAAAATATGATCAACTTTATCAAAGGTGGACTCAAAATTAGGACAAGTTACCAAATATACAAGTAAGCCATTAGAAAACACTTAGTTTCAACGTTGATATAAGCAGTTGGAGTGTCATTAATGCCCCCAAAATAAAACAAAATATTTTTATAGCAATCATATTGACTATATTCCATATAATTTCTAAGTCATGTTTCCCCTTTCCTTTTTTTTTTTCCTGCATCAAAAGAGAATGTCATCAGGTGCTACAGATGACTCAGGGGAACAAAAGCAGAAATGAAACTTATTACCAGTTTGAAGGAGGAGTAAAACTTGGAATCGGAGCATTCAACTTGGTATGACTTCCTCACACTACAGAAAGGCCGTTGGGATAATTCTGTAGGAGTGTCTTTCTTTGCATATGCAGTACTTTAACTCTGTTTTAACATTTGCCCATTTGTAAAATGGAGATGCAAGCCTTGGAGGTTTTATGCAATAGGAAAATAGCAGAGACTTCTGGCATGCGTGCTCTCTAGGATGTTTCTACTAGTTTCTTCTGAACTGTGTTTCATTCTCTTGAAGTAACTAATATGTGTATTTCTGAAGTAGAAGCGCTGCTACATAAGTCTACTTGTCTATAGCAGTAATTTTTAAGATGCTTATGCTGTTGGTTACAGGATACCTGGAGTGACTGTTTATTTCTAACTCCCCCATATATACCATTCTTTTGCTTCAGTGGTACTGTAGATTTGCATACATAATTACACTTAGAAGAATGAACAGTAGTTTACTGAGTTTGTGCAAAAGAAGACTGTGAAGACTGTGTTTTCCTCACAATTTATTATGATTACCCTTTCACATCCATCATGGCAATGGTGAGAGTTGATTTCTGCTGGTATGTTCATCTCTGTATCATTCTGAACTGGAGCTGGCCAATTTTCGATCTGGTCAGAAGAACTCAGGTCTTTCTGCACCAGCCTTTAAAATTCAAGCAACTGGTAGATGTCTGTTCATAAATGTTCTGACCTTTCCTTTTGTTCACGTAGTCTCCTCAGTAGAAAGCTTAACAGGAGTCTCTGCTTGGCAGAATATATTAGGGTGAATGGAGCTTTTAAAGTAGTATCTCCAAGTAGACCTTCTTGGAATGCTCATTGAAAATGTGGTTATGATCTTTTTAAGTTTTCTGTTGTGTAGGATGTAGAGAATGCATATTGTCTGAGCAGGGGAACAAAAATGCATATGATAGAGGATTAAGGATGATAACAATAGGTAGTATTTCTAAAACAGTTATGCTTACCGGTCTGCTAATTCAGTGCTCCCGTGGTAGAAGCAAGTAGGACTTCCATGGTACCATTTTACTGGAAGTAAAGGAAGATGACAATTGTAGGTTGTAAGTACTACCAAAATAGATAATACTTTCATTCTGAGTGACACACAGTTTTCAAACAATTCTGATCAGCTGACTTGACCTTTTTGGTTCAAGTTTATAATGATTTTAACTTTTTTTGAAATGTATATGGTTTTATTTATCTTTTTTTTTTCTAATTTATTTCAGATGCTGTCACTTCTACCAGGAAGGATCCTTCGACTTTTAGAATTTATTGGATTTTCTGGCAATAGGGTATTTGATCTGATACTTGCCTTTTCAAATTAATCTTTTCTCAGATAAAGACTGGATGGATTTAATGTTGTGTATTTCACAGTAGAAGTATAATGATCACTCTTGCTTATCAATCTTTTAGTGTTGTTAAAAAGACAAATGGACTCGATATTAAGAGGCATAAAAGCACATATGGTGATACCTGGCTCTTTAACAACCGTGGGAAATGACCAGTCTGCTTCAGAGAGGATTTTTCAAATTGCAATTTTCTTTCCTTTTACTGATCCTTAAGTAGAGGACATCAGCCTTCTTTTCTAGTTGATTCAGTCAGAAATTAATGTTCCTCATACCAGTAACTGAGGGAAGACTCACAGTTCTACATTTTTCCATCCAAAATTCCAGCCCATTCCTTTGGAAAAAAGAATTTCTTAATATCATATGCCACCCTGAAGTCTAGGTACATCTTTTTCTCATGGATGAGCAAAGTATTTGTAACCATAGCCTTGTTTTCTAAACCTAGCCTTGTTTTGTACAGCTCTTTAAAATTCTTTTTGGTGCCCATAAGAAGTTAAAAAAAAAAAAGGTAAAAGAACCCTGTCAAAACAACCCATAGAATTATACATAACTAAACTTCAAATTATTAATGCTACAGAGCCACCATATGGTCTTATTCTGTTAGCTTGTCCACAACATGGCTCTCCTTTTGTAAAATTAGACTTCTGTAGAGACCTGTTCGTTTCTTCCTCTGAAAGACCTGGTTCATGCTGAAGCTCTTCCATAACACGTTTGCCCTAACTGAAAAGGCAGTAAAAGCTGAAAGGAAAAGAACAAACAAATTTGGAACATCACCACATTTTTTTGTGTGGTACTTGAATTCTCCTTTAACTCATCAAGCTGCTATGCAATAGAATTGATATGTTAATATTTGTTTTGAGGCAAAATTTTTAAATTCTGATACGTTTCTGAAGAGTTGCTTGCTCTTGAGCAGGGGAACTCTGAGCTTGTCTCTACACTCCCCAAGCAGTGAAACTGTCATGTAATTGGCCTAAACTGGAAAGCAGTGGAACAAGTCTCATGTGTTAGTGCTGAATAAGTCTCCATGAATCTGGATCTCTGTTTGGACATTGATGTATCAGCAGATACATCATAACCTCAAAATAGTGGCTGACTTGGTGGAAGAAAATGGAAGATAACCAGGGTTCTCTGTGAAGGAAGACTCACACCAACAAGTTGCATTGGAACAGTTGGGAGAGGTTCTCGCTGAACATAGACTTAAAGATGTTATTCTGACAGGATCATAGCCAGAAAAAAATGGGGAAGGGATGTAGACCTGTGTGTCTGCATGATTCATGTGGTGTTCTCATTTCACCATAGCACTGAAGTGCATGGGTAATTTTATTCAGAATTAGATTAGTCTTCTCCTTCCTGAGTGCTGTTAGCTGTGACAGAATTGTTTTGGTAGTGGGTTGTGTTGGATTTGTGATGATAAAGTGCTGAATTATGAATACTTATATATGAAAGGAAAGCTGGATTTTGGTTAGCCAGAAACAAAGTAGTAACTCTGTATACTGATAGTTAATTCTGCATGTGTTTGTGATATTTCTTAGGAGTTGGGCCTCTGCCAACTACGGGAAGGCGCATCTGGCAGCAGTTTGAGGGCCATTCTGTGTACTTTCACCCTGTTGGTTTATCATACTTACGTCTCCTTAATCCTTGGTGAGACCCACTGTGTAGCTTTTCAGTCATGCTACACCTTGTAATAGATATTGTGATTTAATTTTATAACTGAATTTCAAAATTGTGGAGATTGCTATGTATTTAATTATGATCTGAAATTAATATTCTTGACAAAGCTATGTCTGCAGAAACGGTGCAGATAGATAACATTATACCAACATCTTGCTCCATTTGCAGGGCTGTCTCAACATGTGACAGCAAAATATTGCAAAACAGTTTTAAGCTAAGAGAAGTCATTATGCATAAATTAACATCAGATGTTGTGAAAACTATGTCCAGAAAAAAAGCCTCTACACCCAAACAATTTACTTGGAAATACATACATGTAGAGAATTAATTGCTTTTGCCACGTAGAGCTAAAAGTCGTGATTAATTCTATGTGCTTTTTTGCCATATATTTTCATGTTCTTTCATTTTTAAGTATTTTAGTCCTTGTCCCTCAGGCTCATCAGGAAATTAAGGAGAACTTCATTTCTTTCCGTATCACTTGTACTTCATTACTGAGCTCAAAATTAGGAAAAGAGGCATCTGAGGAGTGTTTTCCTGGCTTGCTAAAGCAATTACAGGGATTTAAAAATATAACTAGAATCTATAATGGAACAGTTTAAAGAATATTCCTATAATTCTAGTCTGTTTCTACTTACAGACATTTAGTATCTTAAAAGCACTTGGTACCTTTGGGACAAGAATTTAGTTTTATAGAAACACAGTATGATGAAATAATTCTGCTTTTTCATAAAAGCAGTAATCCATTGATTTATTGCAGTCATAACATAATTTGGAAAAAATCTTATTCTATGAACTTGGATTTTTTAAGTGGATTGAGTGAGGTTGGTTTTTTTGTGTTTTCTAGGTACAGGGGAAGCCAACCTTCAGGAAGCAGAAAGTCTTCTCGAACCCTACCTCCAGAAATTTCCAAATGTGTGTATTTTCAATAAATTTTATAAGAGCAATGTAATTCCCTAAGCTTAAAATCCTAACTGGTTATTTTTTTCATCTCCTTTGAAGGGTTCCATTATTCTATTTTATGCTGCTAGAATAGATATACTGAAAGGAAATTTTGAAAAGGTAAATAAATTTTTTCTTTTTAAGGTTTTTGTTTGTTTAATGTTCAGACTGAGGAGGAAAATTTTTAACTAATTAACTAATTAGTTAATAATTAACTAATTATTAACTAATTCATCTAAGTAGCTTCTTTTAGTTGGACCGATAACCATACTCAGTTCATGTTCGCTGTCAGTGTTGATTCCAGCGCTCTCTCTGTAAGTGAGACTGAAAGGGAGGTTTATCTCATTTTACTATCAGGTGTTCTCCACTTGGGTGTTAACTAAGATTTTGCCCTGTGATTAGACATGGCTTTCACATGGAGCTATAATTGAGCCAGTTTTCATCATTCTTACTTTTAACTACATTGTAGGCACAGTTAAGATTCCAAGACTGCATAGCAGCCCAGCAAGAGTGGAAACAGATTCATCATCTCTGTTACTGGGAACTGATGTGGTGCTACACCTTCCAGCAGGACTGGCTTCAAGCATATCGATATGCAGACCTGCTCAGCAGAGAGAGCAGGTGGTCTAAGGTAAAAGGACAGGTGGACATTGTTGTGATATACCAGTGGTCTCTCTACAGTTAAATTTACTTTTCAGTTTGCAGAATAAGTGTAATTTTTGCCTTCTTGTAAAACTCATAAGTAAAGGCACAATGGAACCAAAATGGTAGATTTAACTGGGTGGTTAAGGAGGAATTTTTCTTTCACTTATTGAAGCACCAGAGCCATAAGCAGCAGTGTTTTGGCCTCTCCAAAAATGGAGGTGCTTACCAGAGCTGTGAAAAAGATGATGTATGGGAAAACCATTAACTTGAATCTCAAGTCAAGTTCTAGCACTCACTAGTAAAACTTGTCTGAAGAAACTGCGTTTGTTGGTTAATTATAAACAAAGAGCATACCTACTCAGCAGATGCATTGTGACATGAGTAAGCTGCTGGAGACAGGGTCTCTTGAAGAAGTTGAGGTATCAGCTTTTTATTTGTTAAAATGTTTCTCAAAGTATGAACCAAGCACTATGTGTCAATAATTCTTGATGAATTATTGTTGTCTGTTCCTATCTAGACTACAGTTTTATTAGGCTTAATGAAAAAGGGTATACATCCAATTTGTGACAAAAGAGGAAGAGAATAGTATGTTAAACAGGAAGTGCAAATGTCTTGAATAGAATTATGGATGTTTCTATTATTAAACCCAGTTATTAAACTTTCCTTGAGTCAGTACTCAGATATTTTCTTTTGGTTTTCTTCAGGCATGTCTCTACATGTAATACATCATGTAGTAACAGTAACGAACTTTAGTTATGTCATTTAACCTCATCTCTTTAACAGTGGTTTGCATAATAAATTCTCCTGTTCTTTTCAGGAGACAGCTTTAACTTTCTGACTCACTAACTTAAAATATTAATAAATACATTGAAAATAAAATTATAGCATAAATCATGTGACAAAGGGAATGCTAGACTTTATAGTTCACCATGCCTAAGAATTACTGGAAACACTTCGCTGCAGCAATTGGGGTGAGAGATTTGAGTCCTTAGTTGACTGACAGAAAACAGTGCGTTAGATGTGATAATATGTTGCTATTTCTTTTTGAAATAGGCAATATATGTATTCCAGAAGGCAGCAATTCTATGTATGCTTCCAGAGGATGATTTGAAGAGGACTGGTGAGGACATCGTGTCTTTATTCAGGTAAAAGTTTATAAAGCAACTAGATGTGCAGTCTTTTTCCCCCCATGTCTTTGTCTTGCATGACTTACTTCTTGCTTATAACCATAAACTTTTCAGTTTTTCTCTTTACTTTTAGCATCAGAATATTTAAAATGCTGTTCAGCAAACACACATTCTACAGCTGTGGTCTGAGTGATGTGGAACAATTTAAGATGTTATACTTCAGAGGCAAACAGTAAATCTTACTAAATGAAATGAGATGAAATAGAAGTTGCTTTTTGTAATTTTTATTTTCTATTTTCCCTTCTTGTAGACAAGTGGATGGTCTAAAACAGAGAATTGCAGGAAAATCTATCCCAACTGAGAAGTTTGCAGTGAGGAAAGCTCGACGCTATGCAAGTGCTCAACCAGTGAAGCTGATATTACCTGCCTTGGTATTTGTTCTTGTGTTGTTTTCATCCTTTTCAAACAGAAAAGAAAACAGTATAGTTCATTATACAGGGTATTATGTGTCTGCATTTTATAATTATTTTTTTAAAGAAGTGCGGCATTCATGCAATGGAATTTTTGTGAAATGTACTAGAGACTGGATCATGCTACCAACTAGTAGTAGTCCAAAACCAGAGCCAGTTTTTTCACATGGAAGTTCAGTCTTCAGAGAATTGGTTGCTGTTGCCGCATGAGGCCAGAAGTCATCCTTCAGTTAGAAACCTGTGTTCATGTTATTAAGTTGGTAGGATTTCAATCCTTGTCTTCTAGACTCATTAGGAAGTTAAGGAGTACTTCAGTACTTTCTATTCTTCTGATGAAAATGAAGAGTGATGGTTGGTTTTTGTTTTTTTTATCTTATATTGAGTCTGAGTAAAATGTACAGAAGTTAAAGATACGTTACTAATGCTCTTCTAATTTTCCATATTTTCACTTCAGAGGCATTAGTATTCTGTTTATATGTGCACAGCAATGATTCTTTTCGTATGTGTATACTAAAGTCTTTGTACATGCAACTGTAGATGGAAAACATAATTTGAGGAGATTCTTACATTAAAGCTCATTGATACAGAAAGAGGAGTCCAAAGAAAATTTATCTAACTGTTCTAAATTACATTCTGTATTAAATTGCATGTCAAGGACTAAGTAATAAAGTTATCTTGGGTTTGTACAATACAGTTCTTGGCAGTTGTGAGTATACATATGTTTGGTCTTGCCGTCAAATCCAATATCTTTTAATTTAAGAACTTTTTTCATTATGAGTTTGGCAGAACCAAGCATAGTGTATGGTTTATTGCAGTAAGCATAGATTAGACAGGACTGCAGAACTGAAACAAATCTACCATGGTGTAGTTGATGGTGTCAATAACGCTGCTTCAGATTTTTATAGAGATAGCTTTTATTCTCCCTCTTAAAATGCACATATTTACAGCACAAATACAAGTGCAATTATTTCAACAATGTATTGTATCAACTTCAGAATGACATTAGACTTCATATTTCAGAGGTTTAATTACAATTCAAATACAGTAGAACAAATTATACTCCTTTTTGTTATGACTGAGTAAAGATCTTGGTAAAGCTTCATGTTGGTTAGCACTGACTGTGTATTGTCTCAAAGTTTTACAGTGTGATAATGTATCAAAACAAGCATATTACTTACTATTGTACTGAAGCATCTGGGAAGCTTTGTGCCCAGGATTTGCCTTGGGAATTTTTTAATCAGTTTTGTAGAAATTATATTAAAAGCATGCGTTGGATGTGCGCACTGGAACCACATTTTTATCCAGGAAGTTCTATCTACTTCCAGTTTTGCTCTATGGAAGGTAACAGTCTACAGATTAGAGCATCTATATATATATAAACACACAAGTGTGTGTTCGGGTACATGCATATAAATGAATACATGCGCACACTGAAATGCATACCAAATTTACCTATAACTACTTTCAGCTGTTTCTTTAGTTCCTATGGTAAAAGCCACAAATTAAACCTAAAATACACAATTTTACTGATGTGTTACTTGGGTGACAGTAATTTTTAAAGATCTGTGAAAATACATGACAGTAGAATCCATTAAAAAAGTATCAAAACATTCAAAACTTAGAAACCCAGGTTAACTTTGTCAACACACATTCGAAGTAATTTTTCCTCTCCTGTTTGTAGACCTTTTGTATTGTTTAAAACAATTTCTATAGTGTTTTTCTGTTCCAGAACAGTCTTATCAGAGGTTCTCTTTAGTTAAATATTTATGCAATTCCATGATTTGTCTTATGGTTTTTTTTGTTTGGTGGTTTTTTTCTTTTTTTTTTTTGGTCAGGAAATGATGTATGTCTGGAATGGATTTGCAATTGTGGGCAAAAGATCAGACCTTACTGAAAACTTACTGGTAACAATTGAAAAAGAAGAAACTGCTCTACAAAATGAAACTAGTAAGTGATCAGTTAAGGTGGAATTAATAATCCATAAGAAATGCTGACATTTTTCTGTGCTTCTGTGTAATAATATTCTGTGAGGTAAATGCTGGGCAATGTGCCATTAAGTCTGGAGCCCTGTGAAAGTTAGGAGTGGTTCTTCAATATGTTCTTTATCTGGCTGCATTGATGCTGCAGAAGAATACAGAAAACTCAAGAATGTGAGGTTATTGGTAACAGAACATGGGTGGTTCTTGCTAAGTTGTTCCAGTCTCTGAGTGTTCTTGGAGCATAGTCCACTAATTTCTTAAATGTCTGAAAAATACTTTTTCTAAGCCAATTTACACCATACTTAACTTTACTACGGAGGACACATACTGAGCAGAATATGACAAAGTATAAAAGATATACTGAAGTGCTATGCATGAATGAGTTTGTTGGGGTTGGTTGGTTGGTTGGTTGGTTTTTTACTTTCTGGGAAAATAAAACATGATTGCTAGTTGTAAAATAAAACATACTTAACAATTAAAATTTGACCATAGTTTTTTGCATCTTGATGCATTTGAAGCGTAGATGTTCAGGTTAATGTTTAGAGAATTAACCCATAGCTTACTCCTAAAAGAATTTAAATTCCATTATTTCAACAGGTTTAGTGCACAAGTACCTGGTTTTATCAGGTGGGTGCTGTCATCTGTCATGTGAACTTCTTGGTAGAATACTCCTTTGAGTTTTTCTAGAATGAATAAATGTTATCTCTTAAAATGATAACTCATTAATAATAATTTCTATTTAACCCAGATTTTAGTCATGCTTATCAACAATTTAGCAAGTTACTTTTGCCACATGGTTAAAACTTCAATTATGGTCCATAAAATATATCTAAGTATGATTTACAGTATAAACTGAGGTGATGCATAAAAAGTTATACAAGGACATACAAGAAATACATAGTGGTAAAGTCCTGATAGTATAATAAACCAAATGAGAGTAACTTGGAAGGCCATGATCGAATTGGGTCCCTTAACTTTTTTATGGTCTTTGCTTCTCTGCAGAATCAGTAGTGTCCCTCTTAAATCTCAAGTGGTTTGCCTTTTTTTTTGCTGTTGTCATAATGAAACAAAAGTATAGTGATATGCAAGATATTTGCCAATAAAATAATGTTTCCATGAGTTCTGCATGGAGGCTTCTGACAGAACCTCTTGGGAATCCAGTGCTGTATCATGCAGAGGCTTGTGCTATAAATACTAATCAGTTGTAATGGTAAAGTAAATGTCCTTTCAAATCCCTAAGTAGAGATGTACAAGGTACCAAAATAAAAAGACAGAAGTAAAACAATTGTTTTTCTTGTGGAAATATGCTGTTTGCAAATAGGATGTAATCTGTAAGCATGTATAATTTCTGTATCTTTTTTTAGTTATAACTTCAGCCAAATATAGTTCTGTTCTGGACTTTGCTTATGTGACCCTGATTTGCTTTTAAAGATATAGACTCAGACAAGATAAAGACTCTAATTACCAGAATTGCTGCTGAATTAAGACCCAAAGCAAAAGTGATTAAGGCTATTAGCAGAGCATGACAAGGTTACAATATTACTTTAAGAGACAGTTTTAAGTACTAGATAGTGTTGAAGGATTGCTAAAGTGTTGTAAAAAAGTGTGTTGATTATACACAGAGGTCATTTAGGGATTGAGACTTCTTAGGCAAGGCTGTTTTTACTTCATTTGCTTCGCATGAACAGTCACAGCAAGGACTCTCTCAAGGATTGCAAGGAATTTTATGTTGTATAGAGCTGAAAATAGAGATGGTAGAAGGAACAGATGAAAGATATTAGAGATGTAGTTTTTTCATTTTTTCCCCTCAGGATTTCTTGAAATCTTATTTTTCCATTGTTGTAATTTCCAATGCATAAAAAAAGAATATATAACTCCAAGAAAAATTAAATAGTTTCTTGTTTAGTAATTTAGATAGTGATACTTCCTCTGGTGTAGAGGACCGCAAGAAGATGGTTCTCCCAAGCTGATTGCTAGGTTGTCTGTACTAAATCTGTGCATTTATTGTCATTTACTGCTATTGTTTTGGCATAATAGCTTTTATTCTTTTGGGAAATACCAGGGAGATAGTAGTTGTAGTTGTTAAAGACTGGCGAGCCTTTACTGACATGAGTGCATGAATAAGTCCTTCAGGAGACAGTCCTATGAAGTCAGTACCTTAGCCTAGCAAAACAGGCTAGAGAGAATGGAAAGTACTTATCCGCTGTGCTTCTGCACGCCACTAAAAGCTCAGTGTGTGAGTTTCTATCTATTGAGACTTTCTAGGTTTAAACACAGACAGAAATAATCCTGAATATAGTGGTAAAGCACTTTGTTGAATCCTAAAATGTGTTAGTCTTGCATGTTTCAGAGCTGTTTACGTAGGATTTCTTTGGCAGACTATTAAGAAAAAAAATAACGTGACCTTAGGGAGCTGGTAATTAGTTGTAAAGAACATGATCTGAAGGCAGAGTGTTTTGCTTCCTGAATTGTTAATGTATGTGCCGCCATCTGTCTATCCATATGTGTTTTCTTTCCTTTCTTTTCCCTCCTTGCACACAGCAAATGCTATAAACTAAGGCAACAAAAAAAGACCACACTCGTTAAGTAAATTTTGAATTGATTCAAAAACCTTCTTTCAAATGGTATTTTTAGTCCTATTGAAGGTAAAACTTCATTGAATTTTTCAAATGTTATTCATTATACTGAGTCTTCTTAATCATTAGAGATGATGGAATTACTACAAATTTCTTGAATTTGTACTGCAAAATAGTGCTTCTGAAAAGCTCTGTAGGACAGAGTCATAGTGTGATTTTGTGCTTTTTCATGTTACTGGTGCTACTGGAGGTCTGCAAGTGCTCTGTAACAGGGGAAGCTATTAAGATAATGTGGTGGTTCCTATCTCACTGTAGGTTTAGATATTACAAGTACAGAAATCTTTAATGCCAGTCTGTGCCTGTTTGTTGGCTGTTTCAATTTCTTCTTATTCTTTGACTCTCTTTAAAGAGAAAGATGCAGATGTTATGGACACATTTTCTTTAGTAGACAATATTTTAAATTATGCATGAAGGTTTTGTACATTTTGGGGTATAAAACATAAGAAACAACATCTTGAGTCTGAATACATATTCCTACTGAAAATCTAATTTTCCTTTTCACAGTGTCTTATAACTGTTTGATATATCTTGCTTTTCCTGTTAGATCCCAATGAGTATTATATGGATGATGTGTGCATGTTACAGCTACTGAAGGGCCTGTGCCTGAAACACTTGGGAAGACTCATGCAAGCTGAACTGTGTTTCAGTAAAGTAATTCAAAGGTAAAATAGTAACAGAAATATACTTTAAATCTTTATATTTTATGGCTTTTGGTGAAATTTCTGATACTCTGTAGAAATTGTCAAGTTAGAATTTTGAATAATTAAATTTCAGCATCCTTTTAAGGACCTGAAATTAAAATACCTCTGAAAGCAGTCAGAGAACCACAAAACTTTGCTAGTATTTTTCTGTAGCAATGTAGCATTTATATAGCTTTATATATGCTGTGTTTTAGACCACATAAATCAAACTGTTGGGTAACACATCCAAATGTATTTGGAATTGTACTTGCAGAACTATCGGTAGGTAAAGATAATTCACTTAGGTTTCCTGGGGTTTTTCTCAGGGTTTAGTAGTTAATGCTTCCCCATGTAGATAAGAAGCTGTTGTTGCTACTTGTTTCAGCTGAAAACTTGATTTTCCTGTGTTACAGATTTATGAAATACTTTAGGTGTCAGATCTATGTCTCCTGAATAACTTCTCATTGTAAAACATGAGTCATGTGCTGGTTGTAGTTGTAAACTTTTTGTAGGTTTTAAAGTATTTGGGCTGAAAAAGTATTTTTACGTGAGCAATTTTTCTAACAAGTAATTTACAAAATTTAATACTTCAGGAGAATTTGTTATGTGTAATTGTATTGTATATTTTAATTTTCTTGCCATTTTGTTCTCTTTTGCCATTTTTAAAATCCTGTGTGAGTTTAGTCAAACACTTTGCAAATTACAAGGCAGTGGGTTTTGATTGATTGCAAGTTAAATGAATGGTATTTCTGGAAAATCTTGTTCCAAAGGTAGTTGGCAGTGTGCAGGCTTTTACAGCTGAGATATTAAAAAAAATCTAAAGACAACAGTTCTTCATAAAGTGTTTGCTTTGCATGGGGAGGAGGAGAAGGTTTCTGGTAAATTAAATACATTTTGTTGAGCTTTACTTTCTACATGTCTAGGGCTGCTACAGTACTTTAAGACTGTTTATCATGTCAGCAGTCCCCCTGCTCAAAGACATGCTTTCTGTTCATCAAGACTTGTCTTGATGGATGAGGTGCCTCTGTAGAAGTGCTGCTGAAAATATCGAGAGCTTTCCCAGTACTTGTTAAGAAATTTTTTGTTCTGCAGTATTGGTTGATGCTGTTCTGTCCAGGTAAGAATCAGATTTGGTTGTAAAAGGCACAGGAAAGGCCAAGATACGTGATAATCTTCTTCATCTCATTCTCTAGTGGCAAGATCAGGAGTTTGAGATCTATGAAACCCGTGGGGAAGTCTGGAACAGGGAATAATTACCCTTGATGGAGGAGGGTCAGGTTAGGAAAAGTGTGAACAGACTAGGCATACGTATGTCCATGGCAACTGGATGTATCTAAGTATATAGGACATTGGCATATATCCATGAGTGCTGAGGGAGCTGGCCAATGTCATTGTGACGCCATTATCTTTGGAAGATCATGGCAATTAGGGGAAGCTCATGGAGACCAGAAGGAAACAAATGTCACTTCTATCTTCAAGAAGAGCAAGGAGGAGGATCTGGGAAACTTTAGGCCAATCAAATTCTCATCAGTCCCTGGGAAGGTGGAGTAGTCAGGATGGATTTATGAAAGGGAAATAATACTTAACCATCCTTATAGTCTTCCACAATAAGATGAATGACTCAGTAGACGGTGGGTGTTCTTTATCTTGGCTTTAGAAAGGTTTTTAAGTCTCCTACAATGTCATCGCAAAGAAACTGATGGAAATCTCAACTATATAAGTGGATGATGAGATGGGTTGAAATCCGACTGAACTACTGGTTTTGAAGGGCTGTGATAAGCAGCATGAAGTCACCAGTGGAGCAATGCAGAGTTCAGTGCTGGGGCCAGTAGTTTTTAGCATCATCATTAAGAAGCTGATGATGGAACAAAATGCAAGCTCAGCAAATGTGCTGTTGATACAAAGTGGGAGGAGTAATTGATAAGCCAGAAGGATATGCTGCCATTCAGAGCAACCTAGGCAGGTTGGAGGAATAGGCTACCGGTAATATCATGAAGTTCCACAATGGGAATCATTTCCAACCCCTGGGGAGCAATATCCCCATGCACCAGCACAGGCTGGGGGCTGACTGCTTGGAGAGCAGCTTGTCAGAAAATAACTCAGGGATCTGGGGTGTCATATTCCACCTGGAGCTGACCATGAGTCAGCAATGTGACTTTGCAGTGTAGTGTCCTGAGTTGCATTAGGAAGACTGTCCTCAGGAGGTCAGGGTGGTGATCCTCCTCCCATCTCAGCACTGGTGAGCCCACATCTGGAGTGCTGTCTCTGGACTTGGACTTACTTATAAGAGAGGCATGTACACACTAGAACAAGTCTAACAATGATGATTAAAGGATTGAAGCATTTGTCTCATAAGAAGAAGCTGAGAGAGCAGGGAGTGTTCAGCCTAGAGAAGAGAAGACCTAAAAAGAGTGCGTAAGACTGAGGGAGAGAGAGGGAGAGAACTCTCTTCAGTGGTGCCCACTGATGGAACAAGTGATAATGGGCAGGAACTAAAATATAGGAAATACTGTTTAAACATAAGGGGGTGGGTTTTGTTTTGTTTGTTTGTTTGTTTTAGTTTACTGTCAAGTTGGTCAAACACTGGCACAGGTTGCACAGACTCCAGACTGTGGAGTCTCCATTCTTGAATATATTTGAATATATGTGGCCACAGCCCTGGACAGTTTGCTGCTGTTGGCATTACTTTGAGCAGGGGATTGGATTGGATGATCTTCAGAGATGCCTTCAGTAATTCTGAAAATTTCTTGTATTGAGGAAAAGGTGAATTTTCTCACTTCTCTGCAATTTGTTTAGACAAGCTAGAGTAAAGCAGTCTTAATTCTGTGTGGAAATACAGTATTTATATTATACTGCATAACCTAAAGAATGTTTTTATCTCAGGGTAGGGCTTTGAATGGTTGGGAGGTTTCTTTTAACTGTATGTCACACAATAGGATGCTAGTCTTCTGTTTGTTGTAGGTTGGGTAACATATGACAATACAAAAGTAAGGTAGGAAAAATAAATTTGTACTCCTAGAAGGTCACGTTGGCAGTATTTTACATCAACTGTGTAGAAGTATAATTACTGTGTACAGAGCTAACCAGTAAAAAAGGTTCCACAGAGTTTTCTCTGGCTACATGCTCTTAGAGGCAGTGATTGCATTTAGAAGTTAGCTGATTGCTTGAGACAAGTTTGTAAGTAACCATTTCTGTATTTTTCTGGTTTCTAGTGAGAAGCAAATAAAATACGATAGTTACTTGGTGCCGTTCACCCTATATGAATTAGGTCTTCTGTACAAACAACAGGATGAGAGAGAAAAGGCAATAAGATACATAGAAACTGCAAAGTAAGTGGATTTATTTTCTTTATTACCCTGTAAATTAAAAATAGCTGAATATTTGTAGCAATGAAGGCGTGTGTTTTTTTTTCTTCCTGACAACTTCTTTGCAAAATACAACTCATTATAAATCCGTGTTCTTGGTTTGGAGAACTTGTCCAGTTTAGTTGAATTTTGCATTTTCATGAGACTCTCTCCTTCAGACACAGTGTAGAGAGAATCAAAAAAGACACAGTATGAAGGGAAAATATTTCCTCTTCATTTGGAGCTTCAGAGATGCTGAAGCTCCACTGCATGCATGGGATGGTGCTGGAGAGTCCAGAGAAAGGATCTGTACCACTCTGTCCCAGAGAGCAGCTGCGAGGCCTAAACCTGCTGCACTGAAGGTGTTAGTAGAAGTAGATTAAAAGCCAGTACACGTCTTACCACACACCTTTTTGCTTTCACATCCTGTCACAGAAGAGCAGCTGAAGCTAAATTTACTGTAGGAGCAGCATACTACAATCTGTAGATTGTAGTATGGGGTAGAATGTCCCTTGTGTGTACAGAGAAGTGTACCAATCATGCAATGGTATTGTAAATGTGAGTTAGAAACAAAAGCATTTTTAGAAACATAGTTTTTTGTCCAGTGCAGTTTGTATTTGCTTTTGGGGTTTTTTGGGGGGGGAGGGTGTGGGATGGGGGTGTACATTTACATAATGTGGTTTCTCTGTGTTTTATTACTCTGGCTGAGTTGTGTTTTGAGGCAGAACATACACTTTCAGTTAACAGCCTTACTTTTCTGTAGTGTTTTGGCTTGTCTTTTTACAGCAAACTTCAGTAATTGGAAGGACTGTTAAAAGGATCAAAATAAGTGAAAGTGATGTAAGACATGGGTTCAGTTTATCAGGACGTTTAATTTTTTTACTGATATAAGGGTTATCTGCTCAGTTTGTGGATGAAGCTTTGAATGTCTCGTAACTTGTATCTGTGTCAACCTCTGTTTCCTCTTGAAGGAATGAAGGCTGTTAACTTTGGTACTTCCTTGAATGTGTGAAGTAGAAATAATCCAGTTTAAACATCTTTTTCTTTAAATAACTTGTATGTTTTGCAGAAACAACTACAAAGAATACTCTATGGAGTCCAGGTTGCACTTCAGAATTCATGCAGCACTTGACAGCTTGAAGATGTCACCTGCTTCAACACCTTGAATGAGGAGGGATGCTTTTCATGCATACAATAAATAGCCTACACAATCTTTTTGCAATCTTTTTTTAATCATAGAAAAGAACATAATGATTGTTTTCTGTCATTTCTGATTTGATGTATATCATTCTCATAGACTTCTTTTTCTGTGTAGCGCCTACACTGTATCTACTTGCTATTTTAAAGAAGACCTTATATTTTGTTTGATAAAAATAATTTAATATTTGACTTAAATGGGGGATATTTTAAAAAAAAAAAAAGATGGTGCAATAAAGTTTAATGCGAACACTATTTTTTTATATAAGAACAGATGCTGGTTATGCAGTGGAACTGGTAATAATTTAGCATTTTTTGAAAGTTTGATTTTCTGAAGTACACTTGAGACCTTTTTGCTTCTGGAATAAAAAAGCAGATAACCTTATCCACATTTGGCATAAGTTATTCTGAAATTTGTGTTCCAGAGGAAAAAATTTGTCATCTTTGACTTAATTTCATTTTGGGAACAAAATGAACCTGTCTAAAGTGCAATATTTTTACATTGTCAGAGGAGGCTAAGCAGGGCTACAGTTATAACGTAGCCCTTTGTAGGTCTATTTCACTCAAAATAAGTTCTTACAGGGGATATTTTCCAGTCATAGAAAAGCATGGCTATAAGTGACATTAAGAGATCATTCTGTATCGTTGCTTTGAAGCAGAATCAACAGTCTTGAGTTGTTCCTGACAGACTTGTTTGACTTGTTTAACAATTAAAAAAAAAAAAAAAGCTTGCACTGAGAACATTCATTTTGCAACTTACATAGGATATTTTTCCCAGTGGGAAAAGACTGGGAAATTTTGCTTGGTGTGTACCCCAAATAATTCTTGGTACAACTGAAACTAGTTTTTTCCCATCTTTCCTGTCATAGACCTGGAGAAAGGATTGTTCTTTTCCTTTTTGAAGCAATCTTTTAATATATGAAGACTAGCACCCTTTTTGGTATTCTCTGTTCTTGGATACCAACAAAAAAAAATAAAAAATTGAGGAACATATATATTTTCCTAATTATGGGAATAACTCATATTAATGGAATTTGATTGTACATCAAAAAGGGAATCCACTTTTAAAATTGCAGTTAAGAAAATGCACATATTCTAATCTAATTTCTAGCAAAAATATGTAGTAAAATCGAGATATTTATAAGAGCATGCATTTCTCTTTTCATTGTAATATGGGAATAGCAGTATCAAATTGAATTTCTGATTTCTTTAGATATGCAGATTCTATCTGTCTATTTTTAAAAATAAGAATATATTTGATTTTCATTTAAGTATACACCCAGTAACTGTTCTTTCACTAGTTACTGCAAAACTTGTCCATTTCCATATTTTATCAATGCCAGTATATTTACTTCTGCATGTAAATTCATAGTAACTGTGCTCATGAATGTGATTCGCTGCCCTAAACTCTCATCTAAGAAAAAATGGGACAAAAGGAATAGGTGAAAGTATATCTTTAGTAAATGAGTAACTGAAGTACCTAATTAAACAGTCTATGTAATGTAAATGCAATCATTATTCTTCTCAAGTGACTGAGAGCACAGCTTTCTTCTATGACTTTATAAATAACTGGGTCATTTAATTGCTTATAATTCTGTAATACAGCGGCATACTTACAGGTCAAGTAAGGGGTTAAAAATATTAACTAAATAAACATAATGGATTTTTCGAAGTGGAAACCTGATCCAAAGTCTGTTTTCTTCACTGGTTTGGATTTGTGCCTACTGTAAATGTGTAACTAAGTTATTGTGTAAAATTATCCACATGTAGGTGTGAAGCTAGAGATACCCGAGACACTGAATCACTGATAAAATGAGCATGCTTATTTTAAAATATATTCTACTGGCTGTAGCTAAAGTACAAAACAGAGAGTAGTGTATGATGCCAACTGACTTCTCTAATTATTTATCCATTTATACATCTGATTGTAAGCTGTAGTTAGCATAAACAGACAATACTTTTAATACATTGATGGGCATTTACATGTGCAGTTTAGGATTACTTTGGCCTGATCCGATTATTAGATATTGGCAGTCAAATGAGACTACTTCAACTTCCTGTAGAAGGTGATGGAAACAATTGCAGGTAAAATTTCTGTAATCTGTGTTTCAAATAGTACTTCACAGAAGAGTTAGAACTGGGACTACAGACTCTCAGGATGGAGCATAAAGTAGTTTCTGATCTCTGGTTCTTGTGGGGAGTGTCTTCCAGTTAGTATTTCATTAGTGTTTTTTTGAAAGTTTGGTACAAAGCGTCGTGTCACAGTGTACTTTTTTCCATGGGTAATGTCACTGACTGAAGGGAGACTGAAAAACAACTTTATTTTCTTCAGTTCAGCCTTCTGAAGTCAGTATCATTACCCTGTGTATGTTACACTTAATTTGTTAAGTACTGTTTAGAGCTTGTCTTCTTTTCTGTGCTGTGGTTCCAAACTTTGTTAGAAAAATTGATTGATCAAGTTGCTTAACATTAAGCTTTATTCTGGACATTTTTTTTCCATCTTAGTAAAGAGAGTGATTTTTAACCCTTCACTTGAAGTAGGTCTCCATAGAGCTGTAAAAGATGCTTGGTTTTCCAAACGCTGTAGAAGCACATCTCCCCTACACAGTATGTCATTGGTGCAGTGTTATTTAGGACATTATGTCTGAGTTAAGTGACCTGTGGCTAAGAGTTCAGAAAAAAGGTCTGTGGGTTTTTTTGGTTTGTTGGTTCATTGTTTTTGTGCGGTGTTTTTGGTTGTTTTTTGTTGTTGTTTTTTAATCTGCTGAGTACTATACTGGGCCTTAAATATAGCTCTGATTTAGTCTTAACTGCTCTTTATAATCTTCACCTCACTTGCTCATCTTCATGGGAATTTTGAATATTGTGCTGAGACTTTGAAACTGAGCAAAGCATTTTCCCTGTGATGATATAGCTTTTCTCAATAATACTAGGAATTATAATATATACAAGAGCAAATTTAATTTGTTAGTTTAGGCAAGCAAGGCTAAACTTACACAGATAGGTTATGAGAAAAGATCATTTACATCTTTTTGATAATAGATGTATTTTTTTTTAAGGTAAGCAATAATAAATTAGCCTGGTTTTATGACAAAGCTTCTCTTTGAATAAGAATTGCCTACTTAGAATCTATTACAAAAAACTTCTTGTCTGTGCATATCATTCAAATGTTAATCTGTTGGTGAAAGATCACTGTACAATGGTTTTTATGTCCTTGCTCATCAGTTTTTAACAAAAATTGGAAAAAAATTCATGTCAAAAGAAAGCTGATGCAAGATTGTTACATATGTGTTCTAATACACAGTTGTGTAGCACTTTACGGCCAGAAAAATGTACAGTGATCTTGTTTTGCTTCTAAAATGCCTTGCAAAGTAATGTGTAAAATAAGTAATTTCTTATCACAAATTCAACTTAGACTTTGCAATTATTTTATTATTAATCTTAATGTTTCATGTATTTTTGTTTCTGTATATTCTTACATGGCATAGTTCAACAAAGAATGTTTATATTTGCTCTGGTGCTGCAGTTTTTTTTCTTCTAAACAACTGAGGTTTGCACATGTTCATATCTGGTACTTGAGTAAATAACGAGATCAGAATAACAGAGGATGATGAATGAAGTATGTTCTGGTTTAAATGTAGAAGTGTTCATTTTGATGCATTGGAATGGATTCTCACCTCAAAGTAATAAATCACATATTATGCTTGTGCTACCAAGTGCTGAATTAGGCATTGTATTCTAGTTGCACATAAAGAACCTTCAGCTGAGATTTATCAGAGCAATATCAACAAAAAAGTTGAGTTTAAACATGCTGTATTGGGAATAGCGTTCTCTTTATTTGACCTGTCTAGGCTGAGAGGTTGTACAAAGCTATCAAGGTCTAGGAGGAAAGGAAGGGTCTTTTGAAATATAGATAGCAAATATAAAATAAGCCATTTTAATCTTAATTTCTCACCGGTAATAAAATCATACCGTTAAATGCTATGAAATACAGGTGTGATTAATAATTGACTCACTCTCTTATTAGTTACTTAATTAAATTCAGTGGAGGCTATTCCTAATATACTTCTAGCATTCTTTTAAAATCCTGACATTAAAAAACTCTAAGCTATAATCATCTGATCAGCTCAACACTTGGACTTCCTGTATTCCACCCATCACAAAGGTATCAGTGGTGTTGGGACCTTACCTTTGTTCATTTTGTTGTGGGGTTTTTCTGTTGTGTTGTGTTTTCTGCCTTTTTTTTTGTAATCTTCTTTTTTTATTGGTTGATTGATTTTGTTTTGCTTTTGTTTTGGTGCTGATGTTTTGGGAGTTGTGGAGTTTTGGTGCTGTTTTCTTTTCCTGATTTTGCAATTTACTCAATTTTTAATAGGTCCTGTAGGACAGTTTCATAAAGAAATTTAAACATTGTGGCTCTGAACTTTGCGGTTGGTAGAAGAGTAACCTCTAGGCTAAAAAAAATCAGAGTCTATAGTTAGTATAGCAAATTCAATGTTTAGTGAGTGCAAAATCAAATATTCTCCTTTTTGGAGAAGTGTAAGCACGCACTTTCAGTCTGTGGAGAAGCACATGTCAGCTAATAATCCTACCTAAGAATACCTTCCTAGATTTAGTCACTCGTTTAAAGAAACAACTTCAAACACATTAGCAGTAGGAGATGTCTTGTCCGTGTCAGATCTTTTGTACCATGAAAATCATAGAGCATCCAAGCTGAGTGAGCCAGATTCACTACCCACCTCCCTGACGCCATAGTATGAAGAATATTCAGTGTTGATGTCATGGAACTGTGTGGGAAAAATTAAGGTTTTACTAAAATCCCACTTGAAAGTTTAATGGTCTTATGTACTTGAGGATGTAAACGTGATTCTCAAAACTCAATTTTCTTATTGTCAAGTGGATATAAGACTAAATAAGGAGAACTTTTTGGGGATGCTTAAATGACCTCTTCAGAATCTACAGTCAGGGTGGAGTCATATGTAAAATTAGGTTAATGCTACTTATATAGCTTATGTTAGGGTTAACTTGTTCCAGAGCATTAGGAGGTTTTCAGAATTAAACTTGATTGTAGAAGAGGGGCCAGTGTGAGTTTAAATATGGCTTTATTTTCAATAAAGTTTTGCTCAAGGTGATAGAACTTAACGTTTAGGCAAAACACAATGTCTGAAGACGCTGAGGGACAGATACAAAACTTTCATTCATAACACCCAGCCCACCTTAATTAGATTTTTTATGTCTCTTATGTTTATAATGTGCGTTCTCAAGCCTTACTTGGAAAAGATACTTGGCTTAAATCTTTCTCCAAATTCTAGTCACATCAATAAAATTTCTTCAAATCCATATGTATTAGTTTTTACATAGGAACATTGCAAACCTCTCATTGTTGACAATGAGAAAATGTTAGATGTTCTGCCACCTATTATTAATTGGTTTTGTGCTCTGAAGAAAGTTTAAACTTGTTTTTTGTAAAACACAAAATTCGAAATCAGTTTCTTTTCACAACCCAAATGGAAAGTATTCCTCCTGTATTTTTCATTAATTTTATTAGATTGTCCATAGGCTGTGAAAGCAACTTATTTAGTTTATTCTAGTGAATGAGACTGATAATACTATAATCATTGTGTCTATTGCATAATGAATCTTTGAAGTAGAAGCTGCTTTAAATCAGATTCTTGTGAGCTGAAAGAAAAGGGCTGAAAGTGGAACGTGAGGAGTTCAGGATGTCTATAGAAGATCACAGTTAAAACTGGACCTTTCTTTAAATGCAGGGTACTCTGAAGGCCAATGGCAATCAAAATGTTTTAGCATCTAGTGAATATGAAACTAAATTTAGAGTCTTGTTTTTCTACAAACTAAGATTTTAATAGTTTGTCACCCCCAGAAATCCAATTTCTGAGTCCAAGTCTCCCTCCCACATCTTACCCCAGTGTGAGATGGGTTTTCCAGACACAAGACTCAATATGAGGAGAAGGGAATTATATTACAATCACTACACAAATAAATATTATAATACATTATATACACAATCTTAACTCTCTCTCCTATGATAAATCAGTGTGGTGGTTTGAAACTCCCAAGAATCTAATTTCTGAGTTCAAGCCCCCCTCCCACAGTTTGCCCCTGTGAGAGGGTTTAGTGATGGTATGGACTTGATATCTTCCTCACCTCATGTGGAGAGTTTTCAGACAAAACACAACCATTCGTTATTGGGGGAAGGGGAAAATATTTACAAAGGTTTATTTATACACACATATATATATACCTACATTGAATTAAATTCCTCTTTTCCTTCAATAAAAGTCTAAGAAGAAAAGAGAGAAGTCTTTCTGTCACTTCTCAGGCCACAGTTCCTTCATTTCAGTTTTTTGTGGCACTGGTTAGTGTCCTTCATTTTTCCCAAGGCAGCAGATTTAAGTATGACAGTCAGGATTTTTGTTCTTACTTTGTGGAAATTCTAACCCTGAGCCCGAGCCTTTGGGGGATTTCACTCTTGGGTTAGAACATTGAAGGCAGCTTTCAGTTCAGTCTTACCAAAGCTCTTCTGCTCTGTCTCAGCTTGACAGCACAATAGAAGCAGCAGCCAGCAGAGGGCTCAGCTCAGTTTGGTAAGTAGAAGGAGATATACTCTAACTTTTCCTAAGACACTCAGAGGCCCTAGTCTTGGTGGTAACTTTTGCTAGAGTAGTTGATTTCTGATAAAATTCTTCAAGAGCTTGAGAGGATGTTCAATGCAGAAAGATGTGTCATCTCTGTTCTGCTTTACTGCATCTCTCTCTGCTAATTTCCGTCCTCTGTAGCTTCATTTGCAAACTAAGTAAAAACATTCCAAGATTTTTAGTATCAAAGGGACCATTACATTAAGCCCAGCAATTTGTGTTTGACCAAGCATATCTTCCACACAATTAATTACATGCAATAATTTTATTCAAATCCTCTAAGATCTATGGGTGAAACAATATGTATAAGAGCTATTGTAGTTATGGAAAGAAATCTCTCAGGTGAAGAAAAAAAGAATTTTACTGAAATTCCTTGCCAATGTCATCCCTCTTAACTCGCTAACATTTTATTTGAAGTCCAACAGAGCTAAATGCCTTTTTGAATACAGGATTTGGGTACTGAATGAGGTCTATGGCCAACAAATATTAAAAACTATTTTTATAACAATTTGAATTATTGCAGACTTAATATCAGATAGTAATTTTTCAGTTATTTTCGTCCTGTTTCATCAGGTTCTTCAGAATAATTGACAATTTAATAATTTCTTTTTGTAGTATTAGTAAAAAACAAAATGTTTATTTTCATAATTTCTTATTCTCATATATTTAATGAAAAAAAATAGACCCCTTTTTTCTTGCCAAAAGTCTAGAAATCAGTTGGGCATTCAATTAAATCACCAAGTGTATGAAGACAGGCCCATTCCCAAGTTCTGCTTCTGAAACTCTCCCATGTGATTCATTCTACAATAATAAATATTCCATTCAACTATAATTTCAGTGAATTAGTTGCTGCTTATTTTCTCTTACTTATCTCCCTTGAAAAAAGTTTATGGAATAGTCATGCTCTAATAGGTGTTTTAGAATCTCCATAATATCTTCAACATTAATTAATTTTATTTTGTCTTTGGTTTGAAACTAGATAAGATCCAGATTCCTTCATTCTTCATCATGCTCACACTGTTTCTGGTTTCAGGGACTGGGTGCGATGCACAGGTTCACTGTTGACCACCTTGGGGTCCACGGAAGAGAGTAAATGATGTGTATCACTCATTGAAAGCAAAAACATGGAACAACTAAACAAGACTGCAGACTCTTTGACAATATCTACTGTTGTGGGTTCACCTTGGCTGAACACCAGGTGTCCACCCAGCCGCTCTATTCCTCCCCTTCCCAGCCGGACAGGGAAGAGAGTAAGGTGGGAAAAGAAAACATCACAAAGCGTGGGTTGCGATAAGGCAGTTTATACTGGCACAAAAAAGAAAGTAAAAGCAGTGTGCACACGCACAAAGCAGAAGCTCGCAGTTAATCTCCATACTAGCAGCCATGGTTGGCCACTTCTCTGAGAAT